CACTTACTACCAGGGGTCTGTGAGCCTCATCAGTTGCGGCATGAGCTCGCCAGGAGAAGAGTGAGTGTTTTGCTATTTCCAAGCTAATATGGGGCTTTCTTTGAATTATTGTTTTTTGAGCTGGAAGGAAAGGAGGCTTGTCACACAAGATACCTGCTATCAGTACACAAATAACAGCAAGCCCATCATCAACTGGAAAATAATCGCCGCGGAAACCGAGTTGCAGAGCAGCCGGGAGGGATTATTACAGGTGCTGGCAGTGGCGATGCTGTCAAGGAGCCTGTGTCAGCACTTCCATTACCACCCACCTGGTTTCAGCACGGCCCCCAAAGCAGGGTACAGGGCTGCAAGGCCCCAGAGTGGGGCCATTTATATTCAGAAGAGTTTCAGATCAACTGGCTTTGATTGGGTTTAAATGATGGAGTGTTTAAGAGGGAGAGAGCAGAAATAAGAGGGTGAGATGGAGGGAGGCATCTCAGAGCGGGGGGTCTGTACTCAGAGAAGTGGAAAAGAGTTTGAGGTAGGAGAAATCAGGAGTTGAGACCGAAGAGCTGGTCCTTATGAGAGCAAGCTTCAGCTGGTGACAAGGAAGGACAGCATGGGGAGGCACAGGTGGCACTGCCTGTGCCACCCATGGCAACAGCTTCTGGGGAGGCACCTGACTGTGCATCAGTGCAGATGAGCAATGGAGTTATAGACAATTTATTTCATTCATTTGGCAACTGGCTGAGCTCCTGTGCAGAGTGAGCCCTCATGCCTTGTAAACTTCGCTCAGTGAGTGACTTGGGAGCATTGTTTATCCTGTGCTGTGTAGTGATGAGGTGCTGTATACATCCTGTGCTGTCAGCACTGTTGGTGGGCTGGGTTCCTTGGTTTTTTTTCACTTAGATGCTCTTCAAAACAGTAGTTCATATTCTGCTTGTAAGGGAAAGCTGTGCCTTCCAAGTGACACACTCCCACCCTGCAGTGCTGTCAGGGCACAGGTGCAGGGCAGAAGCAGGGATGACTTCATGGCTCTGTGCCTATTCAATACCATGCTTGTGTCCCCAGAACCTGAGCCCAGCTCCCAGCCTAGAGCCCAGGTCCTATAACCAGCTGCTTTGCAGGGTATCAGACATTTCCCAAAGGAATTATCTTGGATCCATATCAGTGTAACTGAATGAAGTATCCAGCCCTCTCTGCCCAGTGGGATCAGGAGGGTTTGGTCCAGTCCCTACCTGGGCTGGGATACATTTGCAGATGCCCCCGAAAAGAGCCTGTGGACAAATTCCTCCACACAGGGGTGCATCTGTGTATTGAACACTCTGCTTTCAGAGCAGGAAATATTCGGTTTCAACACTTGGAGTTAAACATTTCCGCAGAGCCCAGGAGACCGTGCAAACAGCGGGAGCACCAAGGCTCTGCCTTTTCATCTCTGTGGCACTGGCGAGTGGGGGGTCGGCAGTAAGGGAAGCACGGCAGAGCCGCGGAGGGTAAACACTGGAGCCGAGTCTACTGAGTAACCAGAGAGTGAAGGGGAGAGAGAGGGGCAAAGAAAACAAAAACACAGCTGCCAAAAAACAAAAGCCTGAAAAGAGCCATTCAGTGTCTCCCAGGAGCGGGTTTGGCACAGGGCAGGGAAGGACAAGCAGGGAGCAGCCGTAGGTCCCTCCCGCTCAGGGATATGGGCCCTTTGTTTTGCCTGGTCAAATCAGTGCCCTCCGTTTGGAGGGGTAAGCACTTACATCCCAGCACGGTCCAGCCACACGCATGATGCAGCATCCTTTGTTTGCTCCTGGATATCAGGGTGTCCCTGCTCTGGAGAGGAGATGTGGGATGTCTGTATCTCTTTCCACCCTGGCATTCACAAAGCCTGAGGTCTTGCCATGCCCATCCTCTCTCCCTCTCCTCAAAACCCAGCATCCTGCACCATGAAGATGGGTACCACTGCCTGAAGCAAGACACCACAGTGTGGGTGTGTGCCAGGCTCTGGGCATGCTGCAGATGTGGATGCTGCTGATTTGGGGAGACGTATCCCAGGAGGAGCCTCTGTTGCACTGCAGGCACGCAGCGGGTTCCACAGACCTGGGGAGGCTTGCGTAGGTGTCCTCCTGGCACGAGAGAGGATCCCTCCTTTCTGCCTGTCAGTAGCACTTAGCCTTGCTCCTGTGAAAGCACAATTGTCAGCCCCCTGGGCCAGGAGCTGGGGCTCCTTCTGTCTCCTGCTTTGCAATCTGTACATCAGGGACTTGGCTGTATGTCCAGGTTGCTGTTCTCCTGCCCCTCTGGAAGCCCTTGTTTCAGTGCAAGCACCAGCCTCCTGCACTCACCGGAGCAGGGGGATCTTCCCCGGCTGTCATGGGGATGCGGAGTGACAGCTGTCACATCCTTCCTTGGCACAAATTCATCACTGTATCATTGGTGTAGCTGATGGGTAAGGCCACTGCTGCTCATTTCTCCTGCTGGCCTGGGCTGGGGTTAGGAGCAGCCATGGAAGACAGCAAGGCTTCTTCCCATGGCCTGAGACCCCTCCTGGTTGCCCCAGCCATTGAAAACCAAAGTCGCCTCTGCTTAGGAACATGCACCCCATGGAAGAGTACCGGAGAACAAGAAGAGCACAAGGGCTTCGGTGTGCAGGAGGTTAAATATCCCACCAGTCTGATGTACCAGCTGGTCCCCAGCGGGGGACCCTAACTAAGCATCCCAATCCAAGGCTGCTAATCCCAGTTCCATGGTTTGGGACAGTCCATCCTCTCCTCCAGCAAAGGAACATCTCTGGGCTCCCTGCAGAGCAGAGACACGGGGATGCTCAACCTCTGTTCCACCCTTTGGTGCTGCTGCGCACATCCCAGCCCCAGCAGCCAAAGCTGTGGATGATGATGGGGGCTTGTGGGCCCCACGGCAGTGGCCTGGGCCAGGAGCAGGGATGCAGCGTGGTAGGGCAGAGGGCAGCCTGTTTACCCATCCATCTGTACACCCCACAGCAGGGATCCAGCAGGATTTCCCGTCCGCTCAAAGGCTGCCTGTTTATTTTGGGAGGGAGACTCAGACAGCTCCATTGTTTTGCTGTGAAGTTGGGGTTATAAATAGCAGGTGGTCGGGGACGCTCCTGGACTATTTTGGGCCCCCACTAGACAAAAGTGGAAAAGCTCCAAGAGGAAGGTGGAATTACTGAAATGCCGACCTTTCCCGCAAGGGTCAGCAGGAGCTGGGTGTTTGGGTTTGGGTTGGGTTCTGGGCATTATTTAAACATGAGGGAAGGCGGAGAGAGGCAGATGTTCCAAGTTGCATGGGCTGCAAGCTGCCAAAAAACAATGTGTCCTCCCTGGCAGAAGGATGATGGGAATGAGGATCTGAGGCACCTGGGTTCTGCCTGGGAGCCTCTGGGAGTGGCCCAAGTCCAGAGGAGAGACCAGTGGGGTTTTCCTCCTGGCTTTGCAAATGGGAGAATTCCCAATGGAAAGGGAAGCTGGGAAGGCAGGGAATGCACCATAGCACTGGCCTGCCCCAACTTGCCCCTTATGCCTCAGTTTCTCCCATCTTCTATAGAGGTGCTGAAGGAAAGGGCAAGTAATATCCCAGTGATAGCCCTGCTTCCACTATACACATACACTTTGTCCTATTGGAGGGCAAAGATAAGCCAAAGTGACTCTCAAACTTATTCCAGACCCTTTTTCTTGTTAAATGCTTGTGCCATACAGTTATACAGGGAGAAGCAAGGATGCAGTAAAGCTGCTCACACCGATGTTTTATCCTTTGAGAAGGTCTATTCCTTTAATGGGGATTCATTTAACTGGGCTCCACCATCATTAGGAGCCATAAAATGGCACCTTTTGCCTCCTGATTGGAAGGCCACATTGCACACAGTCCCTTCGTATCCAGCACAGGCTGCTTTATTGTGCATTACTGCCTCTCACTCAGATTTAACCAATTTGATCCATGTCTAATACATAAATAAATAATCCAGCAGGAGGGTTCATGTTGGATGACAACAGGCAGCTGTAAAGCACATTTCTCCCTGCCAGAGCCATCTGAGCCAGGCTCCGCACGCCCTCTCATGAGCAGAGCTGCTAGTACAGCTGGGAGAGGGGGCCTGGGGACCCGCGGGCTTCCCTCTTTTATGGGAACTTCATTGTTTGCTTTAGAGTTTTATTTTATGTTAAATAGACGCTGTATATTCCTTACAGAGGGTGCAATAAAGTTTCTGAGCTGGAAGAAATTGGCTTCAGAGCAGGGAGTGAACCAGGGACATGTGGCTGGGCAGGGAAGCAGAAGACAGGATTGAGAGTAAGGAGGATGTGGGGAAATGCATCGCTTACAGATCTGCCCAGAGACTCAACCCAGCTAGGGATTAGGGTACACAGGCAGCCCCAAATCTCACCAAGGGGTGATGCAGCCCCAGGGGTCCCAGAACTCTGGCAGTTGTGGGGTCTGAAGCTGTTGGTGATGCAGGGAGGACAAGAGGCCCCAGCCCAGCCCTGGGACAGGCTGAGCAATCCTGGGTGAGCTCCCTAGCACATCCACAGCCTCATGCCACGGGTTCTCCTCTGTCTCCTAACATTGTGTGCCCATGGAGATTTGCTCTGTTCTTTACAGGGAGGATCATCCTGATCCACCCAACTTCAGGAGTGTCAAGGAGGATGAAAATGGCTCTTTATAATGAGTTAATAGGAAGAGGAGCAGTGTTGTGTCATCCATCTACTCCAAGTCGTATCACGTGAACCTCAAATGGGAAGCTAGGCTTGCACAAAGTCACTTTCAGAATGGGGCAGTTGCTGCTCTTCCTGTAAAACTGGAGGGAACACAGCCAGGCTTCGCATGCTCTTGTGTCAGTTGCTGTGCCACTGCAAAAGAGAGACACTGTTTTCCCCAGGGATTGTAGGATGGGGAGAGAATTATATACCATGAGAAAATCCCTGGATTTCAGTCCTGTGCTAGGACAAGAACCAAAGAAGAGCACAGATGATGCTGATGGCAGCTGATCGGAGCTAAAGCTTTTTCCCTTCTTTTCCTTCTCACAGGCAAAAAGAAAGCAACTTTGTTTGACAGCCAGGCTCCGATCTGCCCCATCTGCCAGGTCCTTCTTCGCCCCGGGGAGTTGCAGGAGCACATGGAGCAGGAGCTGGAGAAGCTCACGCAGCTGAACATCAGGTAAGCAGCTCCCTGGGTCCACCAGCATCCCTGGTGACCCAGCTGGGGCACCTGCATGTGGCAGAGATGGTGATACCCACAGCTACAAGATATGGGAGATCTGGTGCTAGCCAGTGGGGCAGAAACATTTCCCTGGAGTTCACTGCAGTGGTAAAGTCAGGCAGAAATTCCTCCCGGAAGTCACAGACATACCTTTCCCTGGGGATGTGTGAGCAGTTCCCATATTGCTGACATCCCATGATGGAGCAACCCTACAGCATTGGTGCACACTGTTCCTCAGCTGCCTTCAGCTCCCTTTTGCTACCCCCAGTGCAAAAAAGTCACCTATTTAAAAAAAATAATAATTGCCTTTTAACTGCTAGCAGTTATTTAGGAAATGTCTGCAGCCAAGGGTTGGCAGATCCCTGCCCCTGCCTTAATAAAAGTCAGCAGCCTTGGGAAAGAGCGTGTTTATTTCAATTATTAATGAATTCTCCGGTCATTAAAAGGTGAGGAAAGGAATCAAACTGCCTGCTAGAAACAAAGTTACATCACCAGGTGGTAGGAGAGAAGAGACAACATGTGTGTCAGTGTACCAGAGTGATGGGTTGGTGACATGGCTGTACACAGTGCAGAGGATGCAGAATCAATCCCTGCTTGGCTTGGAGCTTCTTGGATTCAGTGATAGCTGTTGAAGATGGAGGGAGCAGGAGGGAGCTTTAGTTAGAGAGAGACCTTCCAGAATGGATCTGAGCTGAGATATCCCAAATTCAGCACCCGCACCCTCAGGCTGAGACCACGTCCTCTATGTGTTGCACAGGAAGATAGGGAAGGGGGGAGGCAGCGAACAGGCAGCGCATTTATCCCCCGCGACACCCAGTCCCCTTGCAAGTGTAATTTATGGTGTAATTTGGGCCACATCCAACTTAATAAAGGGCCACTGCAAATTAGTGAACAGGTTTAAATGAACAGAAGCAATTAGTGCTCGGAGGAGCCCATCAAAGAAGTTGGGCCAATATCAGAGTGAAACTGAAACTGCAAGCCAGGAGCAGAGGCTGGCTGGCGCGAAGTGGTGATGGGAAGGTGGCGTTTAATGGGAAAGGAAAGGAAACCCTAAATCATAAAGCGTGACAAGGGCCATTGTGGGCCAGCTGACAAATGAAAAAGAATGGCATTATTCCTTTAAATAACAGCAGCAGTTAGAGAGGAGACAGCTCTCCCTGGCTTGCCCTCTCTTCCCTGGCCTGCTCCACTCGACCACGCAGGCGGCAAGGAAGAATCAGAGGTCTTTATTAATTATTAAATAACGACTCCCTCCGTAGTGTGATAGATAACGTTCAATCTAGGCAGTGGATTCGGGCGATGGAGGCTAATCTGTAACACAGCAGCTCCTCATGGGGATGGGCTCTCCCAGTCCTGGAGGGAACCAATGCAGGCACCACTGGCAGCAGCATGCAGGAAGAGCAGGAATAGTGGGCAGGATTAGCAGGCAGTGGGGTGTGAGGGGTTGGAGTCCCATGCAGTGCCCAGCCCCAGCAGGCAGCTTGCTATAGTGGGTTGCTCCATTTCCCATTCCCCCACCTTTCCTGCCTGGAGAAGCCAGGAGCAAGAACACATCAACAAGAGAAGAGAGAAACTAATAATGATCTCAAATAACCCAATAAACATAAAAATAAAATGTAGGCCTATAAACGTGACGGGCACCGGCAGCCCTGGCCGCTCCCTGCCAATACCGACTTGTTACCGAAATGGCTGAGCAGCTGTTACTTATCAGTCTGATGGGGAGAAGCAAACCGGGGGCTGCTTTCCAAGGGCTTTTTTTTTTTTTTTTTCTAATTTAAAGAGGATGCAGCCAATCATGGCTTTTGGTGTTAAGTTTTAATAAACCTTAATGATTTGCAACAAAATCATAGATTTCCTGTGCTCGGGGTTAGGAAGGCAGATCCCCTCCTGCCCACTGAGCCTGAAGCACTGGCGGCTTTGTGGGCACTGGATCAACTCTATGGAAAAGGGATTTCTTCAGGTGACCACAGGAGTTTCTTGGGGCTGAGATACAAGGAAGCTGTAGGCACCACCTGGATGATGCTACCTGTGCTCCCAGATCACCGCAAGCAATTCACCCACTCCAATGAACCTCCTTCTCAGCTGGTGGGAATGGGGTTTTCTGTCCCCCAGAGACAGGGACGGCGCTTTTCCCCCCCATAGGCAGTACTGATGTATCCATCCTGGCCTCAGGACAGGGACATCTCAAGGTCAACCCAGCTCGAGCATCATGCAGTGAGGTAGGAGGAGCCATGCTGGCAACAGAGCAGCACCCACCCATGCTGAGGGAGTCCTGTGCACGTACCAGGGACACAAACCAGCTGTTGGACCAGTGAGGAACATCACTCAGGAGGATCCAACCCTGCTGCAGGGTCCAGCTTTCCCTTGCGAAAGCTATCTTGAGTGGGAATGAAGTATCTGGGTTTCTAGCTCAGCTGCCTTCTTGGTGTGTCCAGTCTCCCATAGCATAGGGAGAGACCTGCATGTGCTCACCCCATGGCTCCTCCACCCTGTGTGGGTCCAACCAAGCCTTGTGCACAGCTCCACGCAGCGAAGCAGGGCTCTCTGAATGCAAATTTCATTTCTGAGCCACTGGCGCTGTTTCAAGAGCCGGCAGCCTCCGAGCCCTTTTTGGTGTTACATATGTAACAGCCTCATTGAACTTGACATGTCAAATTCAGGCCATTTGTGCAAAATCTCCCTTTAATAATACCGTTTCATTTCGCTCAAATGAGACTTGAATGCATGTAAAATGGAAAAGGATATTTAAGCGCTAACATTAGGCAGATGTCTTGCCAGAGGCCGATTGAATATATGAGATTTTGAAGTGCTTAACACGTTTTCAGTGCTCCCTCTTAGAATATGTCACCTGGCTTTCTTTTTTTTCCCCCCTCTTTTCCTCCTCACCTGCCCCCCCTTTAAGTGAAGGATATAAATTGAAAGAAAACAAAACTACAAGCCTTGTTTTTATGGGGTTTAACTCTTGCCAGGCAAGACTGTTGGTATTCTTCCTCCAAAGAGAAATTACCTTGGAACTCACCTTTGCAGAGCACAGGCTCAAATCAGCAGAGTGGGAGGTGGGTGAGGGGTGTCCAATGATGCAGGGCAGAAGGGATGCTCTCCTTGCTCTGCCTGTACAGTTAGAGAGCAAAAGGTGCCTATCTGAGCAGCTCAGTGCCACCCAAGGTAAAGATAAGAAATAATAGCAGTGACCCTTTGTACATGTCTATGCCCTGTGCCTCAGCCAGGCTGGTTGACACAGAATACATGAATATTCCTGGTCTGTGTGCATGAAGCTGATCTGGATGTGATCATCCTATCCTCACTCAATATATATACACTTGTTTTACACCTCACCCGTGTTAAAGGCTCGCAATAAAGCACACTGAAATGTGAGACTTTCTGGAGCTGTCAGTGGCCCCAGTTCTGAGCTTCAGCTGGTGCTCTGGCTACAGCTGCATTTCCCCAGCCTAGAACTACCTAGGGAGTGCAGGTGGGCACAGCATTCTAGAGCAGCACCCAGGGGTGTCCCTCAGGACACACACATCTCCATGTGCACTGCTGCGTGGGTCACCCTGCAGGTAAATACTGTGAGCAGAGGTGGCAGTGGACAGCAAGACCCTTAATTCCTGCCTGCTCTCCCCAGGCAGTGACCACAGAGCACTGCTGATGGAGGGGATGCTAGGTGGAGAAGGGCAGGTTTAGGGCTCTGGTTCGAATTCAGGGTGGGAGGAAAGATGAATTTGAGGACAGAAGTAAAGAAGGAAGTAAGACCTTTGGAGCCAGCCTCAGCTGATGCTCCACAATGATTCTTTCTGGAGTTTGGGGAAGAGACATTTATTCGCCATTTAAAAAACCTTAGGAAGTCACATTACAAATATTGCAGTTGCTGAGTTCAGCAGTTTGAAGGTTAGGAATGTGCTTTTGGATGCAGTGGTTTTAATAGCATAACAATCTCTTCTTGAATATGCAATGCTCCTTTAAAAAAATATATTTGGCAGGGGATGTTTTTATTTCACCATGTGACAGCTGCCAGATTCTCCCCTGCATTACCATCAGCAAACCTATGCTTCAGAGCTAGGATTTCACCTCCCCAAAGTGGATGAGGTGTATCAATATAGCTGGGGAGTGGTCCAGGGAGTAGAGCAGTGAGGGTGGTGATGTTCTCAAAGTGCCCCATGGCTGTGCAAACTCCGCCCTCATTCACTTTTCTTTCTCTTTTTTCCTTTGCAATCAGTAATTTTTTTGAGCATGTTTGTGCTACAAAGCCTGTGCCCACCTGTTGGCTGCTGCCAGCCCAGGCCAGCAGCTCTCATTGCTCCTTGTCATTCTGCTGGGGGCGTGGGGACACATCCCTGCACATCCAGCATCTCAGGAGCTACTGATTTCCCCTAATGACCTTTCTGTGTGTCCAGGAATAATTTCTCTTCTGCTTCTGTGATTACGAAGCATTTCCTGAAGCACAGAGGGCACTGGGGTCTTGCACCTTGGTGCAAATGGAAAGTGCTGCAGGCTGTTTTCTCTGACCTCAAAGATGCTGTCAGAAAGAACCAAATAGTGTCAGGCAAAGGAGGGCAGAGAAAGATGCAGTGGGAAGGCCTGTGTCAAAGCGGGTGAAGTGCCCAGATGGGGGATTTAGCTTGACTTTTGGAGCCAGCTTTGATTCATGTCAGAGGAAAAGAGCCAACCACAGGACTATGGTGCTCCAGCTCCTGTAGCAGCATTCAGTATACCTCTGCCCAGGATTAAATCTTCCTTTGGGCTCTGTCTGAAGCTTCCTCTCCCTTGTTTGCACACATGCTCTTTTCCTCTCACTGTTCTTAATCCTCTCTTCTTTTGCAGCCGGGGTAGGAACAGAAAGTGCTTCTTCAGTTCCTGGCACTGCACAGAGCATCCTCACCCTGCTGTGAGAATCTTCAGTTCCAGGTTTCTTTATGTAGAGAGGGACAGCAGTAGCTCTTCTCAGGGGACAGAGGCAGCTCTGG